ATTAATATACAACCCAATTAAAATGGAGACATAAGTGTTGGGAGCAATGGTCCATAATTCTAGGGAAAAATCATTTGAGTAGCCCTAGTTCTCCTGCCTACAGGCCAGCTATAACACTCCAAGACATATAATTCCATTTTGGCCTCAGATCACAAGGAAGATCTCAATGATCCCATGATGCTGTAATGCTCCAGGACAAGACCACACCTGCAGGAGACACCCTGGGAGGAACAAAATCTTCATCTGTGTAGTTCCTCATTGTTCTTAGATTTCCGCCACCCCCACCCAGTCTTTTGTTACACCTTGTTCATCCCAATGTGATACTGAAACCTACATTATTCATTTGTTACATTTATTTCTTTGGATGTACTAAATAAAAGGTGCTGCAAGCTAGGGCTCCCTGTCTTTGCTGCCCAGAGCAGCACTGATCAGACCCAAAGCTCAGCTTCTTCTCAGTCTCATTTGTCTACCTTTCCTGTAATTCGCTGTGTGCTGCCATGGCTCACAGGAGACTAGCACTCACTGCAGAGGTCCTGGTAATCTCCCCTTCCCCTGTTCCCTACACATAAGAAGATGATAAATAGCCAGTGCAGCACAAGGAAAGGTGTGCAACTCTAGAATCAGAAAAATACTAATCAGTACAATAACAACATTGAATTATACACTCATTAGGGAAATGAAGTTAGAAGTTTTAAAAGCCTTGTCATGACTTTTTCTTTTTGTTGGATTCTCCTCCTTTGTGTTTAATTTGTCACGCCCAGTGGATTCATTCTGCTGGGTTTCCTGGGGTTGTGATCCTCATTGTCTTTTCCTATGGTATTGTCTAAAAATTTTGTAGTGCTGGTTTGATATTCATGAATTTTCTGAGGTGCTCTTTATCATGAAAGTATCTTATCTCTCCATCAATTTTGAAAGATAGTTTTGCAGGGTACATCAATCTGGGTTGGAGGGTATTTTCCTTTAGGGCTTGAAATACATCACTCCAAGCTCTTCTTGCCTTGAGGGTCTGCATTGAGAAGTCTGCTGTGATTCTCATGGGCTTTCCTTTGTATGTGATTTGTTTCTTTTCTCTCACTGCTTGTAGAATTTTGTTCTTCTGTTGGATTTCTGGAATCCTAACATTTATATGCTTATGTGTAGATTTTTTTTTATCAAGGCTAGCTGGAGTCCTATATGCCTCACTTATCTGTATGTCAAGTTCTTTCCCCTCCTTGGGAAGTTTTCTGCCATCACTTCTGTGAACAGTTTTTT